TTGAATTCAAAATTCATTACCAGATAGCTTAATCCGGTCGATTGATGAATAAAATGAAAGCAAACGGCAATCAAATAGGTAAACAAAAGACCCCCGAAAGACTCAGTAGTCAAAACAACATGTATTCAAAGTAAATTGAAAGAGAATTTACATGCCGAGAAATTAATTAGTGACACAAGTCTATCAAGCGCTAAAGTTTTAGCTTCATTGAGCAAACGTTTGTCCTGTTTATTAAGATGTTGTCAGAAATACCGGCTTTGTGATTTTAAATTTGAGATGCATTCTCACGATGTATTACGTAAGAGCCTACGGGGCGTATGGTACAACTGATGGTATCTGCAAGAACTATTGTAGTCAAGGAGGCGAAGTGAGCCCTCCTAAAATGTAATTAGCTATTTTCACTTGAACTCTCAGTGTTCGTAAAGGGTTTTGAAAGAATAAAGGGCGATGGAAGAACTATTAGAAAAGGATATGATATGCCACTACAGTCGCAACTTAAAGAAGGCCATGGTGAGAAACTCGTACCATGGTGGAAGCTTGCAGAAAGATCTAAAGCACATTCAAAGACAACGAAATCAACTGGTGCACTCGTGGGAAATGAAAAAACAGACGTTTGCGCAGCGTGCCAAATGCACTAAGCTGCCCTCAACGTGGCACAGCCAAGATGACAAGGAGAAAAAGGATTCAACAGAACAACTTTCTGATAGGCTTGGGGGTAAAGAAAGTAGTGCTATTCACATAAAATCTGACAGGGATGTCCTGGGAANTCGTGGGAAATGAAAAAACAGACGTTTGCGCAGCGTGCCAAATGCAATAAGCTGCCCTCAACGTGGCACAGCCAAGATGACAAGGAGAAAAAGGATTCAACAGAACAACTTTCTGATAGGCTTGGGGGTAAAGAAAGTAGTGCTATTCACATAAAATCTGACAGGGATGTCCTGGGAAGAAATGAGTTGGTATCTCGGCAGAGTATTGTTGACAAAGAGGTCTTCCGCAGGCTCAAAAGTAACGACACACACCCAGCTAGCACGGCTCTAACAGTCAAGGATATTCATTCAAAAATGTCTTCTGATAATAACAGCTTGTCAGTTAACACCACTGACGTTCAATGCCCTTCACCGAGTATTTCGAGATTTAGCTACCAATTGAACAACTTGCATATAAGTCCAGAAACAACCATCGCAACGAGAAATCCCAGCTCTTTGAGTCCGTGTCCTCCGAGACCCCCAATACAGTATTTACAGAAAAGACCACAACGCGCTCGCTCTTTGGATCCCAAAGAACTGAACAAAGTCATTTCCTCCTCTCCTCATGATGTTACACAACGTAAACGGGCATCTACCTGGAAAGGGAAGCAAAATAAACCCTCTACAGTCCTAGGAATTCCACAAGGCGATAGCGCGTCTGAGAAATCGAAATGGGTAAGTGAAACCTTAAGACTGTTGTGTCCACACGAGTCCGTTTAAGAATTGTGAGCGCATAGAAACATACGTTCATAAACGGATTCTGTCCACACGTTAATGATGTAAACATACCAGTCTCTACAACTAGTATTGTTAAACAGAAGAATGTCATTTTTGTGTAAACGCATATTAAGTTCTTGTGCATTTTAACGAATTCAGACGGACACGGCTTGTGTCGATGAATAAGCACAAGTTAAAGGCTACGACGAAAGGTGAAACTATTAACACAAACTCTAGATCTAAAACGGTGAGTTCAGCCAGGCCGCCGTAACAGTCGAGCTTGAAAGGTATTTGTTGTTTTAGTTGCGGCAATTGTAAAACAACGTCCTTGGGACTTAAAAGGACCTCATGACCGTTCTGGTACATGGCCGATAGGACCCCCACAGACTCAGTGCTAGCTTGCAGACTAGTCAAAACAACCAGAAATGTACACAGCTAATTCGTCTTTTACACCGCATTGATGCTGAGAAAATCCTGGAAACAGGTCGAAATTTCGTTGGAGGCTTTTTTTTCGAAATTTAAGACATAAGTAGGATAATGGAATGTGAGTTTAACGTCTTACTTTCCTCTTAATTTTTGTTCCTTTTCAGGACCTCGAGGAAAAAAATGATGTTTCAATTCAAGGACTAACGACCTCCTCACGGGTGGCAGGAATGCATGAATCGGCGGGTGCTCCCAAGTTGAGAAAAATATCAGTAAAAAATCTGTTCTTTCCGAACTGATATAAATGTGGGTGTAGTATAAAATTTTAAATTTGAGATCGAGAAGATTCCGACCTTCGTCACTTTCCGTTTGTCCATCCGCCTGCCTGTTTCGTTCCCTTGGTGGGCAGAGCCAGGGGATACTCCCATATATAGATATGTACCCCCGATAGAGTATAGCCGGCACTGTGTTCCCGGTATGATATTTATATAAGACTACCGTTATTATATCAGCTAAGATTCAAGAGCGTAAATGCCTAGCTACATAATACATGGAAAACAAATCATCTGTTAATACTAAACAGGAGCCCATTGTTAGAGGCTCCTGAACTAATTATAAACTATCCCGGTCGTAGATTATTAGAAAAGCGATATAATAAAGGTCTATGTGTCGCCACCTGAGCTAAACCTAATTCCAATTAAAGCCGACCCAAATTATTTAGACCGGCCGAATTGATTCAGACGCTGATCTTAATTCCAGCGGGGCTAAATTTAAAAGAAGAAAAATGCTCATTTCGGTCAAATTCCTTGCTTGCAAAATACGTTGATTTATGCATTAGGTTGGGTACAGTTCGGCGACTGAATCACAACCGTTCCAATGTCGTTCCACAGTCGATCGAAATTCCCGCCCGTACTAGGCGAAAGGAACAGCTGAGCCGTTCAAAATTGAAATACGCGTTCCTAATTGATTAAGAAGCCGAACGTTTTTGTGTACTTAATTCAATGTATGAGGTTCGGCTCATGAAAAGTTCGGAGTCTAAACCGGGCCTTAGTTTTTGTTTTTACCTTAAAGAGGGTGTCATTTTTCGGGTAGGACCATAAAAAGGGTATCAGTATTCGTTTGTCTCTACCTTAAATAGGGTCAAGGTTTGAGACCCTCAACGGCACACACCTATCCTGATGAGAGTGTACCCCCGGTGGATTCGATCGTTCATTCATCTATTTCATAAATTTTTGTTATTCACCCATAAACCCATCCATCCGCTCGTCTTTTCCTTTTTTTCCCCCTTATATTTACTATAATTAGTTATTGAAGAGGTTATACTGAACAAAGCTGAACGTGTATCGCGCTCAGACGAGCTATGTTTTAATATTGAGTTTCGTAAATCAGCAGTAATTCCGTTGGTCAACCTCAGCAGGCTTAAAAGCAATGAACTATTGATATCTCGAAGCAGATATGCGTAGCCAGCCAGTTAGCCGGCCAGCGAAGCTGAAACTAGAGACTGAAACGTTTACGGTTTCATCAAGAACCATAGTGAGCTCTTGGTTTCCGCATTCAGACTTCTAATCAGTTTCATCAACCTATTTTTTCAGCTCTCATCCGGCGTGAAAAAGAATTTGAGCCACGTTTCATGGTTTTCTTGGCTTTAGGGCTTGTTATCTAAACAGCAAACGTTGTTTAACAAGCCATTTTCAGTTTCCGCAACACTTTTATCTAAACACCAATAAATCACTGTGATAATCCAGTTTCATATAGAGTAGACGAGAAAAGCACAATATTTTGTATTCTTAAAATAAACCACAGAAGAAAGGGGCCAAAGATTTCTTAAACTGCAGTCTAAGGGCACTTTCTTACTATTTTTCAGAACTGGCCGGCTGGACTATTGCCGGACCAGTCATTTTGACAATGAAATTAGGATTTAGGATTCGACTGATCTGAAATTCTCATTACGACGGGAAGGGGGATCGGCGGCCGGATCAGTCTGACAAATGAAAAGCGCCCCAAGTTAGATTTCGTTTAAATAACCGACCCTTAAAAGTTGTTTCAAAAAGAGAGTATGCTCTTAGTGCTTATATCAAAAAGAATGAATATTTGGGGGCTCAAGCAAACTAAATAAAATACATCATGGTTTGAAATCAGGTAACTTCTGTTTACCTTTATTTACACCTGCAGTTTTCAAATGCTATACAGTAATCACTTAGTTCATTGTGTCTTTGAATTATGATTCCGGAAACGCGAATAAATAAATGCAATTTCTTGAATTGCCCATTCCTGACCAGTTTATTTTTAGCTACCATCACGGCTTATTTCATCAGTTGCCCATGGGCGTAAAAAATGGGACATTTCGGGATGTTCATTAAACCAAACTGAGCCGAGATTGTAGATTCCGTCAAGCTACAAATAATGTTACAGAATGGAGTATTTTTGGCGAGCACTGCTCAATGACCATTCACATCGAAAACATGCCCACTGCATGGCTCAACAGCTAACTAAGGGGAAATATTCTCGACAAGGAACATATACATATCTTTTCATCTGGATCCTCTTCAGCCGTACCAACCTTAGCACTGAAGCATACGTACCAACTCCCTGGTATGGCCAGTGCCTTACGCATACGCACAACCATATCATCCCATTCTTAGGGTTTTGTCACCTGTCCTCGACCCCTCCCCCACCCCCTCGCTCCCAAATTCTCTGCAAGCTCAAGCCAAAGTTATAGTTAGAGCTTTAACAGCCAATTAACACAAATGGGCCCTTTGCAGACAAAAGCGGGTCACATGGTACAAAAACACCTTGCTGGAGGGCAAACAACGCAGAGAGGTCTTGAAAAGGAAGGATATATATGATCTTTTTTAATGATGTCATCTCTTTGTTTTTCTTGACCCACTGAGTCGTTTGTCATCCAGCAAGGTGCATGTTTTTGTCCCATGTCACCGTTTCTCTACAAAGGGCCCATTCTACTAGATTCTACTAATTTTCTGAGTAATCGAGGTCCATTTTTTTGTCTTCAAACTCAGCGTTTTCTGTTTTGACTTTCTGGGACTCGTTAACATCATCTTCAGTTTTGTCCCATGTCACCGTTTCTCTACAAAGGGCCCATTATACTAGATTCTACTAATTTTCTGAGTAATCGAGGTCAATTTTTTTGTCTTCAAACTCATCGTTTTCTGTTTTGACTTTCTGTGACTCGTTAACATCATCTCCAGTCTTGGAACTGTCTTTCTCTTCAACGTTATTCTGTTCATCTTCACCTTCATCTTCTTCTTCGTCTTGGTTAGAAGACACAGTTTCGTAAGGTAACCTTGTGTGCCCGACAATGATGGATGACGAAAGCAAATTTAGCGGAACCTTTCCCATCTTTGGCAGCCAGTGATTCGGAGATTTCATACGCAGGTAGCGGGTGTATTGAATCTCTTCCATAGAGTGAATCTTCTTTTCATTAAATTGAAAAGTGAAAGGGTTTTCTTCGTTTTCGCCTTCGTCACTGCCACTCGCCTCCTGATCATCATCATTGGTATACCACCCAAATTGACCATCACCTTGTACTACTGACGTTTCAACAAATTCTGCTTCTTCTTTAGCAAAATCAGTTTTTGTAGATCGTCCGTTGAAATCCTTTTTTCCCACGACACCGGCAGGATGATGCTGCCTTTCCACAAGTTTGGATGAAATATTTGGATGGCTTAGTGCTTCCTGCCGTGGAGATAACTCGATGGCAAGTTTTTCTGGGGCCATGCCGTGAAATCGACGTTTCTGCCTTTCTTGTCCTTCTCTCGATGATCCCGATAGAGATCCCCGTGAGCCTTGAAGCCTTGGTAAGCGGGGCTCGAGTGAATCGTCTTGAGAACCTTCTGATTGGCCAGCTCCTGTACCATGAAAAGATGCCAGCCGCAACCGTCTTATCCGAGGTGACACAGGGGCTCGCGGTGACATCAACGAATTGTTTGCCTCCTTGAATGAAAAAAATAATAATTAATAACTGGCCAAGTTAAGAAATAAATCAGTATTTATCAAAGACTTAGTCATCATAATTGTATTGCTCCTCATATAAATCCGGGGGCTGCGTAGCGGAAACGTTGTTTTTGATTATTGTTTGTGGCAACTTTAAGGTTTAACGCAGAGCCAGCATCAGAAGACAGCCAGACCTAGTCTCCATGCCCCCTGCTCTAGGCGCGCGCCACATTAGAACAGCTTACGAGATAGAGAAAATCAAAGCTGGTTGAGCCACTGTTTCGCTGAATGCTCTTTCCCTATACAACGCTTTTCCAGGCCTTCACTGTCGATAAATTTCGGTGACGAAACGCTTGCAAAGGCCACGCGAAATATTTAATGAGGCCAAAGGAACTTTCGTTTAACACGCAGCAAATGCATCTTCCGCAAATTTCACGTTAGACCGAATGACGTCATATTAAGAGACTGCCAAGAAAGCTCATGATGCTGGCTATAAAAATCTTTAAAGGAGAACTTTGGTAGCATCTGATTTTTTTTAGAAAGTTTAAACAACGGTCGGTAACCAAACAAATGGGCAACTTTTTATCCGTGAAAATAGTCTGAAATGACAGCCTGCCCCACGCTGTAAGGGGGTGGAAACGGCAGACATTTCAGACTATGTAGAAATGTTTTCTTACGGGTTTGACACCATTGAAGCTAAATAACAGCTCTTTTGATGGTTTACTAGCTGTTTTTATTTGTATTACGGGCAATGCACCGAGCGAGGTAATCGAGAGGTAGGTGGAAAAATAACTGAACATCAATTCAAGTATTAAAAAACACTCTTCCGTTGGATAGCACCGAATTAAAGGAAACATCTTACTAAACGAATTAAGGAAGCTGTAAGCTGATGTAATAACAATCGTTTTGTACAATACTGTAATAAATATTCCAAAACTGAGATGCCCTCATTTTTTGGCTTTGTAACATGAAACAGTTAAATCTTAGGCATTTTAACCAACAGTAAAAAATTGTTCGAAAATGTAAATTTGTTCCAGAAAGAAGCAAAACGGCTCCGAAAAGGCCAATATTATTTTGTTTAGTATATCAAGAGTTTTCGGCCATTTGACAACAATTTATTTCAGATTTCCAAAGGCTATCGAAGATTGTCGAAGATTTCCGAAGACTAACGAAGAGGTCCGACCACTGCCGAACATGTCCGAAGAACCCTCCAAACACTTAACAGTATTTTCTTCAGAAACATTAAAAAATGGCCAATTTAACAGTAAATACTAAAACTTTGGGGCAACTAACACTAAACACTAAACCCCAATCAGACCCTCCTCATTCTGTTATTGACACAATTGATTGGTGATAGGAATTCGTATCGCACAATTCCAGGCAAGTAATAGGGCAGGTAAATCGACATTTAAACTCATTGTACTCGACTGATTACTCGCTGAATTGTACGACAAGAAGATAACACCAACTTTTTCGCTCAGTGACGCATGTCTGCTAAGATGGCACAATTTTAACCCGCCATGATCTAATCATGTTGCCTTTAGCCTTCCAGTTGATGCATAAACTTCAGTCCTGTCCTTCTGTTTGTTCTCTGGTGAGAGTCAGAGCTTTCTCTAAAAAGAAACTTACCTCAAAATCAGGAGGTGTCGACTCGGCGCGAGGCCTTGGATCTCGTAACGGTGTAGACTGTGAGCGCTCAACAGGCCTCTTCAAGTTATCAAAACTCTTAGCATGAAACAAGTTTCTTGGAGTGTCCAACGTGTTAGCGCGTCGCCTACCACAAGGTGAGCCGGGAAGTGAACGACACCGTTCTAGATCTGTTTGTTCAAGCGAACGAAAATATAGTGAATGAGGTGAGGGTGATGAACGTTGAGGCGGATATTCTAAAGACGGCGAGTTAGTTCGATCGGTGGCAGAGCCTTTGTTTTCCGCGTCTTTTGAGAGCCAGGCAATCCGTGGTTGGTCCAAGGAACTATTCCTTTTTATTGTAGAACCACTTTCGGAAAGAACGCTCTTTTCACGAAGAAATGAGTTCATATCTTTGCTGGACGCTGAGCTGCTGCATCTTAATTCCGATACTGGGGAGTCTGAACGCCGTTTTAAAGCGTCCTTTGACCAAACATCACAACAAAACTCGGCAATTTTTGTCTGTGCATTTTCTCTTTCACGACCAGATTGAGCAAGGCGGATAGATGGCAGTTTGCATTTCCTTTTTAGGAAATCGAGCTTCTCCTTGCTCAAGGTATTAATAAAACTTCTTCGCTCTTTCTGTAGACACGACAACGATTTCTTTAGTTCAATATCGTAGGTTGAATTTTTATCCAAGGCTTTCTTTACTTTATCAATGTATATCGCGTCTTTTTTAGCTAGCTCCTGAAAAGAATAACCGTGAGCCATGATGAACTTTTGCCGGGTCTCGTGGTTACATGGATCCACACATTTATGCTTCGTGGCTAATTTATTGCAGCAAATAACTCTAGTCGAATTGTTTATAAGAGGTATATAAGCATAGATCAGAAGTCATTAAGACCTAGGTTTTAAGTCTGCTTTTGTTACCAGAACAATGGTGTCAAAATCGGCAAAACAACCTTTGAGTGAGTTTACAATGGATTGAAGATATGAATTATCTTTATGAATGATTATTCACTTTATTCAGAGTAAGTTCTTACATTTCTTATGTAAACTTTTCCTATTGAATGTACAAAAATGTGTTGTCTCTAATTTGTCTTTATTGCTGCAAAATTTTCTGGATGAAAAAGCTTCAAATCTAAAAAAGCCCGCTAAAGTCAATTAATCTTGTTTTACAAATCATAAAATCAAATATGGAGAAAAATGCACTCTAAGTTTGGAGTCTGTGGACATTTCCTAGTGGTGAATACGTATCATTTCAAATGAATCTTCTCTTAGTCAGAACTTTCACACGGTGCTAGTTTGTTTTTTTTTCTTTCGAAATTCTGACTTTTTACGTACCTGATATTTTGCTTGGAGTGTATAAGGGTTAAACTCGTGCTCGAACTTTTGATATCAAGTAGTGTCCAAGCAAAATTTTCAACACGATTGAAGTTATTCGAATAATCATTATAATCATTGTCGGCTAGAACTGGGTTTGTGCTCATAAGTTCACTTCATCATCATCCTTTAACGGGTTTATAACGAACCAATTCGATCAACGACCTGCTCCCAGCTGGTTTGTTAGCTTAACTGGTAGAGCGCTGCACCGGTATCGCAGAGATAAGGGTGCGAATCCCGTACGCGCACAAGCCTGAATTTTTTTCAGGCTTTCTTTTTGCAACTGCAAAAGTTGCGTATATAACTGCGATGACCGTCCTTCATTTAATTATTCACTCCGCAGTTCACACATAAATGATTTTCATATATTCATAACTTCAAGGTTATATCTCTTAGTCACAAAGGCCGTGAGTTTTGTTGAAATTATCAACTATTACGCCCAATAATCTGTACAAACCCGTCTGACATACACTGTTCTTAAATACTACTTTAAGCTAGCGAGTCATTGCTCGCCATCAGTAAGTGGCCGAGAATCCAGAGAGTCTACTGATGCCTTCTCCGACTTTAGATTTATAAGCCGTCATCGACCCGACGCTACGGCTGCTACGACTGCAAGCTATGTCCATACGAATGAGTTATAGTTTGTAACCACACTGTTACAAACTTAAGTGTTTCCAGCGGTCCACAAGACATTCACGATGCAAATCCCTTTGCAAACCTATCTGCTCTGGGGACCTTTTCCCATGATCCTCAGAGCGGAAGCTGTAAGTGCTTTAGTTTCCAAAACTTACAAACTTATCTAGACTCGCGTAAAATTCAAATCAACATGCGATTGATGCTTCAAAGGAGCCTCTTCAATCCGTAAAAAGTATACACTCAGCGCGCGCGCAGGGTGGCTGGAGAGTACGTTTGTAAAAGTTTATTCCAGGCAAAACTATAGTGCTGCTTAGTAACCAAACAACCACCGTTGGTTGTTTGTGGAAGGGCACAGAGTATCATTTATTACTGAGTTAACCCAGCCATATCGTTTATTACTGAGTTAAGAGACACCCAGCCATATCAGTGAAGTAAGGTGGCACCAGGCAGCAAGGCGTACTTTACTCCACAAAAGTAAAACTATTGTAAGAAGCCAAGCATTTAAGTGGTAGAATTTTGTGCAGAGGACCTGTCCAATAGAACAAACAACGTCTCACCACTCTCTAGTTGAGAAACGTGTAAGACTATAAACCAAAAATTTCAAGTGAAACACCGAGTAATAACGTAGAGCTACTGTTAAAAAAGCAATCCCATTTGAAATGTTATGTATGCAAATTTTTGCTGACTTGACATGGATTGTAGGGAGGACTTATGTCGTTTGGAGCAAAATCACTCCCTGTTTTCGTCTTGAATTTGGCGAAGACAGCAAACACCCGTCACTGTGGAGTCGAACCGGATTTAAAAGCACACCAGAAAGAAATCGGCTTTCAAATTGAGCTTATCTGAACTCTTCAAGGAATTTTTTAGGTAGGATCAAGAAGCCGCCGTTTTGGGGGATATGCGTTCTTAATATTCAGTTACGAATGTTAATAAACTTACTTCACCACTGGGTTTGCAAATTCCATTCTTCAAGGCGTTGACTGCCGCATCCTCCGATCTCCCGGTTTGTCTCATACACAGTTGAACTGAATCGACTAAATTTAACTTTTCAAAACTAGACTCAATCGGTTTTTGTCCAACTTTAGAGGTTTCCTCACGGTTAATACCTAATGAACGTAGTCTCCCTAGTTCTGCTCGCACTTCTTTCCACTGTTGATTTTCTGGGTTCCACGTCTGAGCACGGCGCCGACGAAAACAAGGAGAAGCGGGTAACGAGACACTCTGCTGCTGCTGTCCTAGATCAGTAGGATCCAAAGACATGGAACGCTGCTTTCTCTGCAAGAGAGGCGAGTGAGGAAGCTGTGTTCCCAGAGAGACAAACGGCGCAGAAACCATCACATTTCGCCGGGCACCCACTTCTGAAATGCGCGGGACATTCTGACCACCAGTCATACCATCGTTAAGGCTATGACCTGATTCGACAGCTGTGTTCAATGATTCTGGCAACGACAGCTGTCGATCTAACAAGATTCTTCGCGTTTGCGGTGACTTGGTCAAAATGGCGTGGGATTCTAAGGAAACAGTCCCAAGGTTGTTGGTTTCTCGCCCGCTTCCAAGCTTCTTTAAAGCGCTGCTGTCCTGTGCTACTGTAAAAGATGTTGTCAAACATGGTATAGAAAACCTTTTCTCTGCAGCTAATCGTTTTTCATGCAGCTCGCTCAGAGTCGAATCATCTAGAGAGAGATGTCGAGAAATTGCTGCAGGACTTTTCGCTATGTTTTCCTCGGTCGCATTACGCAGCGGAAGACGAAGCTTCGGTAGTGACGATACTTTATGTATGAATTTCAACTTCTTTTCCCTCTGCGAACGGATAAAACGATTCCTTTGGCCTTCGATGTCATCCAAGTTCTTCTGTAAGTTTCCTTCGAAAGCATTGTTTCTGCCTACGGCTTTCTTATACTCTCTGCTACTCATCATATGTACAGTGTTTGAACAAAAAAATATGCTTCAATGTTTTGAAAAAATCGCTCGATAATCACTGAATACAACGGCACCTTATTTAAGTATAACGAAAATTACCATTCAAAGTTTGTCTTTCTTTGTAACGAACAATCCTTAGTGGCGCCCGGCTTAAATGTCATGTATTTAACAAATCCCTCCCCTTTTAATCGGCTAGCACGAATAAAAGTCTTTAGTTCACAACTCTGAAGGATGTCCAGAAGAAGTCATGCCGGTCTTTAATACAAAGTCAAAGCTCGTTTACTTCTATCTGGTTAATGAAAACAAAGTTTGATGTTTTCTGATCAAACTATTACATCTAGGAATCGATATCCTAAATGGGCTAGAGTACCATTATTGTTTGGCGGAGGTAACGAGCAAACGTTTAAGTGTCAAATCTATTAGCTTCTGTTCTTGCAAAAGTACGCAGTTATGCTTATAATTGTTAAAACAGTTAAACTAATGTAATCCTAAAGTAAATTTTAAGAGAGTGAGAAGAGATATGTATTGGTGTTCACTGCTCATTAGGAGTTTTCCTGAAAAACAAAAGACATCTATTAGCTTTAAACGGATTAGCGCTATGTTGAGAACGTTAAATGGTGGCTCCCGAAGGAAACTTGTACCACGGAACAAAGAACTGGGATTAAAAAGGAATTAATCATTTAGGACTGGTCATTAATGCCTTTCATCTCAATTTGTCAACCCCTAACTTTTTTTCTCTTCTAATTCGTTAGGGAGAAATATTTTTTTCTCACTCTTTGACTTTACAGCGCCTCTGGCACGGCAATCTAGGTCCATTACCAATCACTTACAATAGGCAGATCGAGGAGGGTGTAATGAAGAATTAGCCGTAGATTTGAGCCACCAGAAAAGGCGAAGTGTTTTATTTTGAATGAATTATAATAATCGCCTTTACTCGCGATGTTGATCTTACGTCTGGAAGTACAAATCACAATTTCGTGGCAAAAAAGGCAGAGGTGTCTCCTTAACATTACATTTAAAGTTACAAACAACGGGTGACTCGCAATTTTGAAAGCACCACGGTTACCTCTCTTAGCGATCCGGCCTTAGCGTTGAAGTAATGAAAACCCTGAGTTCAAGGAAAAGTACACAATAAAGCATTATTGCGGAGGTTGTCAAAAGCATAGGTTTATGGAAACGGAGGTTCTCGAACACAAAGCCGAAAGAAGAGCGTTTTAAAACGGAGCTCTAGAGTTTTGGAGGGGCAAAAAGGAAGGTCTTCCAAAACGTTGACCTCATACTGGCCCCGCTCGGCTAAGACCCTGGGGCGGGTTGTTCAAAGACCAGTTGGGTTGTCATGGTTGCTAATCGTGGATTCGCGCCAATCGTCTTTCGAACAGTTCGCTCTGTGGGAGCCCTCTCTTCTTCTTCTTAGGCCGGGAATCACCCCCAGCCATCCTGACACAATTTTCACACACAGCCTGATCGAGCATGGTGTCTCTTATTTCTGTCGTTTTCTCCAGTCCAATGTCATCCTTGATGGGGCAATGTATGCAGTTATTGCTCTACCTCGATCTGGGTGACCATGTTGAGGTTCCCAAAAAAACACTGTACTTTTTGAAGCAGTTTCACGCTTCTTTGTGACAGGAGCAATGGCCGCGTATTCTTAATCCTCTCGCACTAATTTTTTCACTGACTCTTAGGAGGCTCCAGTTTAGTTCCTGATTATTCATTTGTTGTTACCAGTGCACTGAGGGCGGTTCACAGCATTCTGGTGTGCCATCCATAGACACTTTTCCCCAGCTTCTTTGCTAGGGTCCACGTTTCACTTCCATAGAGTAAGACAGCTTCCTGTTCAGTCAATTTTGTATACTCTTGTACTTAAGCTTAAATAAAATTTTTTTAAAAAATTGTTGTTCATTCATATTGAAATCCAATATAACGTTTTTTGAAGCTTCCTCTCAGTCTTGTGGCATGAGGTTTAGTGGCCGTCAACGACGATGCGCATTAGAGTGGATTAAAGGGGCCGTGTCACGGCAGTCCAGTTCATTTTGTTTAATTTTGCCAATTACCCGCCCTCAATCGCTATGGGACTTAAAGTAAGCAAAGAAATTACATGTAAATGACAAAATCAGAGACCCGAGACGAACATATATGTCTCCTGAGCATTATTCTTGAAGCTGCAAGCAGCAGGGATCAACTTTGAAAAACTGTTAGGCTGAACAGTTTTCAAAAATCCGACAGGGGCAGCCAACGTCAATTTTCGGAAAATATCTGTTCGGGAGACGATTTGAGATCTAGAATTTTCGGAACATTTGTTGTAAAATTTCTAGCTTGCCTGCCTCTCCTAGGATTCTCGAACATCTAAAAAATGGCATACTTGCCAATTTTTAACCCATTTTTTACCCTTAAAAGGTCGCCTAGAATTTTCGGGAGCCTTTTTCCTAGCTGAAATTTTCGAAAAGGTAAGTTTTGATTCCTATAGTTCTTGGATCACTAGACTTTCAGCTAGGAAATCCGAACGGATGAAATTTTTTAGGGGGTAAAAATATGCCTATATCTACCGTTCAACTGCTAAAATAGTCTAACAATGCTATGTTTAAGTGGTTTTGAACTATATTCCCGTTGGGTGTCCCTGATCCTAATTTCAATCCGTTTCAATCTTCTTCAGTTTTGCCCATCCGTGACACCTGTTGTTTCTGCTATGTTATTCTAACCTTCCTTTAACGTTTTAAGCGGTTATTCTTATGTTTCTCTTAATTTAACGGGCGTTTTGTAATTTCCTAATTTGGCTGAATTTCGTGACACAGCTCCTTTAAACAAACAAAATAGGGCCACCCAACGGTCGAATGTTTCCAAATACGTCCGAAGTACATCAAGAGGTTTCCTTATGCTTTAGAAGCTTGCTTGGTTAAAGCTCAGTGCCCTAAAAAACTATGTATCTGTTAGGAAGTCTCAGGGGAATTTTGGTCGTCTCGAAGGTTTTTGATGATTTTTCGTCTCATCCGAAACTTTTAGCTTCCTTGATGCATGGGTCCGGTCGAAAGTTCGAGGACATGGAGCGAGTAGCGGTACTTTCATCAGCAATAAAATGTGATAAAAATCAACCTCCGAAAATCGTAGGTACATCTTAGAGACGAGGGGAACGGCATATTCAGACATTTTAGCCTTTCTTGAGCTTTAGAAATTTCTAGGAAATACTTGCTGCTTTGAGCAGTTATTTTACAGAAAAAAAAGTTGTTGGGTGTCCCTGAAAACGTTAATTGTAGGAGTTTTAAATGTTGACTTGCAAATGAGATTTTAAAACTCTTTTTAAAGAATGCAACATTAATCACCCAAAGAGAGTTGTTTGCATTAAAGCTGCTTTGAATTACCCGGAAGCATGGCAGGAAGTTCAATGCAACCAGCTTTCTTTATCAGGATAAATTAGACACCATTAAAAGTTTCGCAGATAAAGAACTTTTCACTGGGTTGCCTTTTCCCAACTGAAGGTCTTTGTCGCTGCCTGTAGCCAATTAAAAACCCAAGAGGCTTTCAGGTCTTATGCGTTTGGTTCATTTGAAAAGGTTGAATATCCATAGTCTTACTGAGATACAGTAGGATAACTCATGCAGCCCCGTTTTAACGGGATAAAGCAATTTGTATTAGTTGTACTAACTAGTTACCGAGCTGTATTGACGAAATTTTCATAAGGCGGAAAACAAGTTATAGCTGTTTTGTTTGAAACTGCAGACAACTGGAAGCTTTGTACAATTTTGAATAAACATATGAATGATCATATAACAGAACTTAGGAAATAAAATAAGATGAAGAAATTCGTATTTATCATTCATTTGACTCAACCTTTTAATTAGTGATCCTGAAAAAAAAAAAAACAACTAACAACAAAAAAAACAATTCCTTGAAGGATATTTAGCTTAAAAAATCAAAACTTCTAATCATCGCCAGAAAAGTTCGTTCTCATAATCGGAAGAACACACCACTGAAATCCAGTCACATCAAGAAATCGT